AAGGTCAGGGACGAGCTATAATTTTTGAAGAAACTGAAGAAGTGGCCTTGCAGCCGAGATTCATGTAAGTTTAGTCTTATTTTTAACCACTTCTGAGCTGAAATACAAGCTCTGCTGGATGCTCTGCTGCAAATGACAAAACATGCTCCTGAATTAATGAATGCTTATACAACCTGATTTCATTTTGGTTTCTTGTAGATCACCCATTTCCCTCTTGATTCTCTCTTAGCTGCTCCTCACTCCTTTCCCTGCATAATTTTCCAATCAGCAGTCCTGCATACAGACAGGACCAACGGTTACAGTCAGAAAGCAACACACCTTACTAGCAGTAACTACCAAACCATGTAATAGTTCTTGTGTTTAAAACTTGTGTTTCTTACAGAAAAATGCATGATATACACCATGCTGCATCAAATGAGAATGCAGAAAAGAGCACTAACCCAGAGGAAATGAATTCTGACAATTTATTAAAATTTATAAAATATTTATTTTTATCCTTAATAGGCATTACTATTTTGATAGCAGTCAACATAGAAGTGAAGGATGACTGACCCAATTTCTCATTCAACAGCTAAGCGAGCCAAAGAAAACTAGGATGCTTTATCAAAACAGAAGGGGAAAAAATAAATTTAAAACATAAAATAAATCAAGATTATCCTCTGAAACCTTGAACTACAGCTCTGTAATTACACTCTTTAGAGCCAAAGCTGGCATAAGTGCCATTCTGGCACTGCACCAAATTTTCGGCCAAGTACTTCAAGTGTTGGCTTCTCACACGCAATGGTTTCATCCCTGCAATAACTGAGGAAAAAAAAACCAACCCTGCAAAGATGATAAAATACGTTTTCAGGCAGTACAAGATAAAACCACTGATCTGTGGCTTCTAAAAGACACACCTGAGTCTTCGTGTTTCCTCCCTGGAGCAGTGGCTCCCTGGAACTGAGCCCAGGCCAGTAAGCCTGGCAGAACTCTTAATTGCTGTGCTCAGTTCTGTGCCTCATCTTTGAGTCAGCTCTAGTCTGAAAAGCCTGCATTCCAAACTGCTCACACAGAGAATACACTACCAGTGCTCCAGTGGATTATTTTTTTTTCCTACACAGACACAGAAAGTCCATTCTACAGGCTGATTATACAGTGATTTACATTTGTATTGATTCTGATGTCCCCTACCATACAAACTGTCAACGCTTTCAAATCCTATATTCTCAGGTATTTGCCATTACCTGTCACCCTCCCCAAGGCATTTCGGTTTTTAGCCCTGAAAAAGGCTAAAAGGGGCTAGTATTACAGTGGATTCCACTCTGCAGTGCCATTAACTGTTAGAAAGCCTGGCAAACCACATCCAAATTCACCACAAAGTTACTACAAACACTTCTGGTAACTTTCCTACCCCCTTCCGTTCTTCTAGAGGCCTACGTCATGCACATAGCTTGGCTGCAAGATCTTAAAAGTTTTCCCTGTACATCACAGGAGATCCAAATAATGAATCTTAAAACATGACAATATAATAATAATAATTAAAAAAGATAAATTAGACAAAATTATAGCAAGCATTCAGCTATTAGTTAGCTCTAAAAACTAAAAGCAAAAGCAGCAGCTCATCAGTGACACAGGAATCTCTGCTGTAGTGTACTGTTCACTCCCCTTTGCCACTTGCTAGTCTCCTTGCAGAACAGGCTCTCTGAGCTCTGAAACATAAAAGAAATGGAAATTTCCACTGACAGGTTCCCCAGCTTTTGCATTTTTGCATAATTTTGATAGCACTGCACAACAGAGATGAGTGACTGTACTTTCATCTTACTGTAACAGACCTGCCTCTTTCCAACACACCCAAACAAGGCTCTTTCCTGGCTTCACCATCTCTGTTTCTTTCATGTTTACCTCAGGAAGATGTGAAAATGGCTGGCAAGTCTCTAATTAGGAACAAAACAAGGCCCTTTTCTGTAAATAGCTAGAAGTATTTATTACAAAAAAAATTAATAAATTTGTGTATCTGTTAGGTATTAGTATATAACGAGCCACATTTTCATTACAACCAGGGATAGCAGACATCAAACAACAGCCACAACTCATTATAAAGACTGTTTCAAAAGAAACAATCCCCTGTTGGACAACAGCAGATGATGGCCTGGTACTTTGAAGTACACAGGATCATCTGAAAGCAAACAGATTCAAATGGTTTCTACTAGTCTGTGAGATGCAGTGTTTGATCAAAGATTTCTCAAATTCTTTCAAGCACTACAAAACCTCTTCTTCTCACACAGCTTCTAAAAGCAAAGTTTGAAACTTTTCACAAAGGAAATACAGATTATGAAGTAATAAATATTTTTTTAAAGCATGTATATTATTGAATTAATGCACAAGCAGGACTGACTTCCTCCTAAAGCATTCAGGAGTGTTCAGTAAGTCTGAACTTACTGAAGAGTAAGTCTGTTCAGTAAGCAACTCCTGTGATTACTGTCATATTCAGAGGCTGCAAAATTACCATAATAACCATCAAAACACAGGGTAGTATTAACTACTGAAAGAGGCAAATAATGTATGAATATCAATCTAAATAGTAAAGAATAAAATGCCAAAATAAGCCAAAAAGGCATTCAGCCACAACTCTGCATTCTTACATTTTCTCTCAACTTTGCCAAAGTAATCTCCCATAGGTTTTTTATCAGAGCTTTCCATCTCCCTCTCTGTACCTGCAAAAGACTACACCTAACAGAACAATGAAGATACTCCCACACTTCTCTTGGAGTAACGATCTCATCAGATTAATGATTGTTAAATTCAGTAAGAAATACCAGGAAGAAGGATGGTCTCATGAGTTATTGGAAATCAGAAGCTTTCAGTTTTCTTCTCACTTCCATTAGATACCTCTGGTATAATGATGGAAGAAGCATTTAATCTTCAGTACATAACTAAAAGAATGAGACTTGCAAGATCACAACAATTTACTTCTACCTCTGTTGACCTGGCAATATGGACTTAAGCAAAAGCATTGACAGTTGCCCTTCAGGTCGAGCTCCAACCATGTCATGTTACTCCATGCTGTTTAGGTAAAAAGGTTCAAAGTGTGACCAATGCCCTAAACCCCAAACTGCTTAATTAAACAAACAAACAAAAAAAAAACCAAGAACCAAACTAAAAAAAAAAGAAACAAACAAACAAAAAACACACAAAAAATAAAACCAACAACAAAAAAAACCATACCACAACTGGTTAGATTTTTACGCCCTCTTTTCCCTAAGTAACTCTAGCAGAGTGTTATGCAGAGGCAAGTAACACTGCAAAGTGGCAGTTCTTGCCACGCGAATACCTTAAGAAGTCAGAGTGGTTGAAAGAACCTGCCAGTTACACACTGACATCTACAGCATTATTTGGGGAGAAAGAAGAGAGCTGTGTTTAGGATTCTGTACTTAAGTATGTTCAACCTATTGTGAAAGTGTCTGGCATGCAGGAGTGTGCCACAGGGCTCAACAACAGAACAAAAGGTGCAGACATGCAGAATCAAGGGTATGCAAAGTCGTTAAACTGTCCTTTCAGAGATACAACTTCAGCTCAGTCATGGACACCATGCACACCACTCTCCAGTCTCTTGGTAAGAAGTCTATCTAACTTTGAACATGAGCTAGATCTCGCATTCACTGTGAAACCACTGGCATACTCACATTACACCAGCAAAGCCATCATGTGTTTTATGCTGATGCTCTTATACACACTTGTTCTCACACTCTTGTAAATCCTACTAGCGTGTACAAAACTGTGTGGCGTAAAAAGATGGTCTTCAATTGTTATCAGGCTGTTGTGATGCTTGTTAAAAAAAATAAGCTGGCAACAGAAACAGAGAGTACCTTCTCCCGGCAGCTGCTGCTTTTGAACTTGCCAAGATACGTGGTGACAACAGTGGCAGAATGGAGACAAAAGCAGCAAAAGCAAGACAGCCCAGTAACTGCACTGGTTCTGTTCTGTAACCCACCTGGTTACCTAGTCACAGCTCTCAGTTTATCTAATCTATCTACTAAGTATTCTTGGGAAGAGTTCCTCAATAGATCATGCATGCCCAGGGTACAAAGATCATTTAATTCCATCTTTCATGCTCAGTTTTGACAAGTCATTTCAGCTTATAAACAGCTACTGCACATGTACAAATTGCAACGTTAATAAATGACATTAAAAACAAGTTAAAAAAAAATATCACAAAGAAGCTAAAAAATCTCTGGGACTGATCTCTAACAGTGTTCTAAAGTAAAACAGAACATAGGCATATATGTATCTGTACTGTCCAAAAAAGTTGATACAAATATTGTCCTTGAAGCTGACAGATCTTTTGCTAGAGTGACTTAAAATGCTGATTTTGTGACCTGTGTTTATGCAACCCAATCTGAAAGTTTAACTCATAATACAGCATGGAAATAGAGACTTGTACAAAAGGAATGTGCACTGCCAGCAGTTCTCTTCCTTAAACTTTTAGTATTTGAGAATGCATTGAACCTTGCCAGTCAATGTTTAATAGTTATATGTGTAAGCAATTCAAACACCTGATTTTCACAGAAAATACGTAAATTTTTACGCAACTACCCAATGATTGTATTAATCTGTGTAAGAAAATGTAGGCAGCACAGCTGTCCCAATATAAAAGCAGTTTAAGAGAGAACAACCGGCTACTGTAAATACAGCATCTGTCGAAGTTAAGTAACTACAGCGTGCATTTTTACCCACTTCATCCACAAACAGTAATTACTGGCATTAGCAGGAGGTTTTTCCTTCCAAACAGAGTCTACCCAAAGACAATTTTAGCTCTATTTAATGTTGTTTAATTTTGCCACATTTCAAAGCTCCTTCTGCTGTTAGTATTCAAATTATACACAAGTACAATGTCTACTTTACTCAGCATAGAAAACACTCATACACAATCTTTAACAGCAGTAGAAAGTACAGTTCAAAGCTCAAACGTAAAAAAAGATTTGCAGCTATTTTCAACAGAGTAAGAATCTGTATGAACTTACAGTAAGATTCCAGTTGATCTGCGGTATTCTTGTGTGAAGATTTAGACTGAACATAAGCAACAGAACTCCAGTAACCACCAACGCACTACAGCTCACAAACTCAAAGAAATAAAGGCCTTCGCAAGGGGAGCATTCCATGATGGTCTCTATGCAGATGAATGCAATCAGTGCCAAAACCTAGGAAGAAAAACAAGTGGGAAAAAAAAAAAATAGATTTCCACATTTTGAAAGTAGCCACAAGTATTCCTGAAATTTCCATTGGGAACATGATCAGTTTACACTCAAGAATGTGTGATTTTAGTTTATAACAAGGAACTGTCTAAAGAGAAAAAAAAAAAAAAACAAAAGCAAATTAATGCAAGACTTCCTCGGTATCTCCCATTCAACAAAGTATATTTTAGCAAAATTACAAGCAGTCCAACATCAAAATAACTGAGACACCCAGAAAGGCATGAAACCCCTTCAGGAAACTGGCTTAACATGCAAACAGCATCTTAAACATTTTATTTCATTTTTCACTCATTATATGCTATTCCAAACCTTGGAATGCATTTGGCTATTGGGCCAACCTCCAGGTCAACTACATAGTATTAATATACTGTGACTGTGAAAGGCATTTAAATCAAGCTACCATTTAAATTTCACTACCAACTTGAGATCTAACTCTATTCAAAATAAAATAGATTCAGGATCTCTACCAACTCCAAAAATGCCTTTTCATGTTTATCATCAATATGCTATTTTATATATTAAAACATATTATCATTCCCTTGTAAGACCATAAAATCAGCAGCTAACAGAGGAAGGACAAACTCCTGGTGCTGCAAATGCATATAAAGCGGATAACTGTTAATCTAAATTCAGAAGAATCTCAGTAGAGTTAAATGCAGACTTTTGCAAGAAGAGAGCTTAATTTACTGTTTAGGATAAATCGGTAAATCTCACTATTCTTAGTCTGCCCAATGGAGGAAACTAAAACATATAAAAACTATATACCAGTATTAGCTACCACTGACAGCTACCAGTTAGATACCACTGATTAGCTACCGCAGTGTATACAACTTACATATCTAAGACTACATTTCCAAGAGTTCTTCTTTGAATGTAACTGGTAAAAGAAAAACAGCAGCATGGACAGTTTGGTTTTATTGGGTAAGTTTAATGTTCACGGCAAGCAAGAAAGGCCTTAAGAGTGTTTTGCTTCAGTTTTCAAGACAACCACCTCCCTACCCACCCACTTACATTTTTCAGAAATAATTCACTTTTTTTGCTCTGCCACAAAATTCTACAGAGACTGTAGTAAGTCGCTTCAATTTGAAGATGACAGCCTCCTCATAGCTAAATATTTCCCAATTTGAAGGCTTTGTGTAAACAAACCCCAAGTTTAAAACACTGACAGAAGCCACAATACAAATCAATTTCTAAATCCTTCTTTGCCAATTTCAATAATGCTTTCTTCCAGCACTTTTTATGCTTCATCTATCGATTTGTCTTTGTCTTCTGCAACAGAAGAAGCAAAATGAAGAAAGGATTTTGAAACGTTACCATTTTAACATCAGCAGTTATTCTAAGGACAATACCCCAGACTTTAGAATACAGCAGCTAATTTAAGTTTAAAAATAAATTACAACAAACCAAAATAGTTTCTATCAAAAATCTCACAACTGGGTAGAAAGTCTCCGGCAGTTCACTTTGCACAGTCTCTTTAAGACAGCATACAGGTAATTGTTTTTTAAAGTAAAGCTCAAAAAAAAAGAAACCTTAGCTATTTCAAGCAGGATCAATATCACCTAATGCAAAATGATAACTCGCAAAACTTTACCTTTTAGATGTTCCAATAGAGTCTCCACTGTTCTTGCCACAATTTTTGATATGACACTTAAAATTTTTATTGTTTTAAAAGCAATGGTTTCTGTAATATTCTCTAAAAATACCGGAGCACAAGCCCAAACAATATTAGGCTTATTTTATGAAAACACAAACAGCTCTGAATTGTGCCACCAGTGATAGGCTGAAGGAGCCAGAAGCTCTGGCAATCACTACTCTGGACAACTGCTACTTGGCATACAGAGTCTCTGCTGTTTTGCTGATAAACATCTTACACTTACTCTTCTCCATACCAGCCAGCATTGCTTCTTCAAGGCTAAGGTACTCATTTTAGCAGTCAAAGCTCAAAACAGATTAAAGATTTTCTTGCATACAGGATTAGAAATAAATTACATGCTGAAGAGGCACTTGAAGCAGTGAATTCTAATCACTGTATGTTACTTATACATTCCCAAAAACTTCAGAGCAATTCTAGCTTAAGACTTCATTTTATTGCTTAAGGAATTACAAAATACATTTGCCCGTGACACCTTTCATACTCTGATGTGAAAAAAAAAAAAAGGTGTTAACACTTAAGTTTGACTTAATAACCCAAACCGTTCTAAAGGCAGGCAAAGATATGACATCAGTTTAACTAATGTAGTGGCGTTAGTGCACAGTGGTCTAGGTTGGGACAGCACAGATCTATTGATAAGTTTATCAGAAAGGCTGGGAGAAAGCCTCAATTGCTTCAGACATGAAGTGAAGGCTGTGTTTCGGGAACACACACAATAACTATCAACAGGAGTATTATCATAACAGAGCAGACTGGGACGCCTGAACACTTGTTGGTTGGGGGACAAGAAAAGGAGAACATTCCCATGAATACCATTTACTTGTAACACTTTTGTACTTCAAGTAAGATTCCAACTGTGCTAGTGTTTCTCTTGCAATAAAAATGTATTTAACCCTTCTCAGAGATCACCCATTCTGCCACTGCTACAGCTAATACCTTTCTGTTAACTGCCCATTATTTATTTCACAATGAGTATTATGACAAAAAATGAAATCCGAATTCACCACCACACCAGAAAGCACTATCCTCCCACATGAACTTTCCTTTTTGTAAACACAACAGAAATCTCAGTCTTTAATAAAAAATATTTTCTCTCTGAAGCAGCAGGGTAATCTTGTCCTCCTACACATTTATGAACTTGCCAGAAGCATCCTTCCAATTAACTACAAGTTATGTGAATCTTCCCATAAAAGCACACAAATGCTGCTTTCACTGGCCATTCCACTGTGAGATGAATCTAAGTTTCTTTCTAATAAATACAGCCAACTACTCTGAACATATGAAATGAACACAGAATACATTATGGAATCAAACCCATAACTGACTCAGCTAAATTACTTAGAAGGGTTGTGTACATTCTCTAACATGAGACAAATCAGCTTGCTAAAGGACATGATGAACCACTACTGGTTCATCCACTAGTGAATTAATACAACTCTGCTACCGAAAATACCACTTGATGTGGCCATTAAGTAAACTGACAGGATCATAAGTGTGCCCCCAGAGTGTCCCACTGCAAACTGCAGAGAGAGAGGCCAGTCTTGATCCCAGCTACCCCAGCTTATTTTCTCAGAGACTTCAGTGCAGGTTTAGCACTAACCAGTTTCTCCTCTTCTCTCACAGAGCTCTGTAACTATAATGAAAACATCTTTCTACCCTATGTTTATCTCCACTGCCTATCTTCTACCCTTCACTGCCTACTGAATTAGCTAATCTACATGCAGCTCACATCTTACTGAGGCTCAAATGTAAAAAGTCACTTCCTCCGCAATTCCCTCTGCCACGCCACACATCCAAAATAAAAACTGGTGTCTTGTCTTACCACATTGACTGTACATGCTCTGGGGGGAAGAAATGAGAACAAAGACACTCCAACAACCCTGGCAAGGATCCATGCTCCATCCAGACACCACTTCAGGGTGCAGAGACTCACACTCTCCCAGGTGATTACAGCACAAAGTGGCATCAGAGAAAACTCTCACTTCCCAGCTGCTAAAGCTTTGCCCTTGCTTTGTGACACAAGTCACCTCAGAAAAACAGGAGACTGGATTTTCTGGGCCTCTGTCTGCCTCCAATGACTGCAGTTACAGAGTATCATATCAGAGCACAAGTTTTGGCCAACAAAACACATGCTGCCACTTGTTCAGTGCAGGAGCTGACCCTCACTTTCAAGTCATGTAATTTAGGCTGATGAGTTTTGACGAGTTCTTCCACAAATAGAAGTTTCAAGGCTTCTATACTTCATAAAAATGAGAAGTTGAACGTGAAGATCTTCTCTTACATGAATTACTGCTCTCTCCCACAAACAACACAAACAACAACAGCTTTCTCAGGCACAGTCAACAGAGCAAGTTTCGTCTATTGGATAAAACAAACCTTTTCACCTGTTTTTCTCTGAACTGAGTACTTTGAAGAGTTTTCTATTCCATCCTAATTCCTCCTGTGCCTCAAGATCTGTATAATTCTCTATGATCACTATCTTTAACAGTTGCTTTTGGTTTCCCTTCTACTTCCACTCTTCTTGAAGTAAGTATGGAGGATTTTGCAGTGGATACATAACTCTGTCATGCTAGAAACATTGACTTATCCTACTGGATGCTTGGGTTCATGCAGAGCCAACCTAAGCTGCCTGCAAAGCCACCTTTTTCTTGGACAAAGGACATACAAGAGCCTGCTCAACAAAAAAAAGGATCAACAAGAATGAACTTCAGGATAAGCTAAGCAAAGGTCTATGCCTGCTCAGGCTTGCAACCCAATGTGTGCAGTACAGCTCTAATTCTGTGACAGGCGGAGTTTGCCCTGTAAATGGAGTAAATGGAACAAATTTGCCCTGCCCTTCCTCCCTCATCTCCCACCACCACATGATGCAAAGGCACAAGAAAAAAAAAAAAAACAACAAAACTCCAAGCAGAGGATTAAGCACAAGATGTTATTTCCCAATAGTGATGTTTTGTGAGTTTTGTCTTGGATAAACTGGCAAACTGTTACCCACTGTTATTGCTTGGGACTTCTTTCAGGACTGCTAAGGTACAGTGCAAGGGGTAGCACTGAACCCCAAATGAAGGCTCCTTTCAGAGTAAAGCACACCCTCACTGGAAGGGGATGATGCAACCACAATTTAGGGCCATTTAATTCCTGAAAGAGAACCTCTATACTGGGACCCAATGTCCTTTAATTTAGCCACATTATCCTCCTACCATTATAGTATTCATCTCAACGTTCCTGTAAATTCCCCTGGAGAAGGGCCCTTAATGAAGAAATCATCTACCTTAAGGCTATGTAAATAGCTTATATT